AATGAACGTCCTTCGCTATTCGGTTAATACTCGACTCTGTAATGGAGAAACAAGAAATCCCAAACGCAAGTACAATCAAGAACCTGGCAGTCACAATGGAACTCTAAATTGACCTTTAAAATAATATAGAGTCGACTGCTCGTAATCCGAGTAAGACATTTATCAACGTTTTTCTGCTCATAAAATAAACATTATGCCCCTAAAATACATTTAGATCTCACAATCATCCCTAGCTCTGTTGCTGTATCCTGCTGAATAACGAATCTGTACTGCAAGTCATTATCCATAAATTATGTATAATGAATATTTACCTATAATTATTAATGCGGCGTCGTGTTTACGAAACGCTATGATTCGTAGTATCCTTCAAGCAGACTTACTGAATATAGCTGTTCTTAAATTTAATTAAACACGTTTAAGAGCATGTCCAAATCTGCAAAAATATAATATATCTTCTTTCTTAATTATGACCTTATATTTAACTCCTTTAAAACACCTTGAAACATATTTCACTTTGTGAAATAGAAAACAGTTTTTCCTGCCCGTCGGCAATGCCTCGCGTTTCATCATTATTACTTCGTTAAAACTTACTGTTTGTTACATGAGTGTTAAAGGTACAAACCGGACTGTAAGAAAATGGCGATAAAATGCAGAAGAATAATTATGCTGTTATAATTAAAATAACACGCTATGGGTCAGAATAAAGAAAATCTGATGTGTACACCACATGACTTCCTTGCACGGAATATTAAATTATACACATTTTTCCTGCATTTCATTTAAACTTATTTCCTCGAATTTCATTAGAGATATGAGACTCATTCAATTAATTCAGTTCTCACTTCGCGACAAGGCAAAAATACATAAAATCTCACAGTATCTATATTAACAATTGAAAGATATAGAAAGACATAAAACACCAATTACATTTACCGCAATTAAAAAAAACTATTTTTACAATTAAAATTACAGTTCTTACGAGAAAACAAGTAATTTGGCCAGCGGAAATATGCAAAGGGTTTTTGTGATGCACAAAACTAAAAGTTTACTTTTAGTCTCACTCGGCAAAAAGGCACTGAAGGCGTAGAAACTCACTTAATTTATTGTGGACGCTATGCTGAGTCAATATATTGCATAATTTAATAACTTAAATGATAATTCCATAATGGATTAAGTATAATTTAATTCGCAATAATAAAAAAAAGACGTTACTTTGTTGTTGCGAAGCTTAGTTTCTCTAGATTGGCAATAATACACTATTCTGCTAAGTTTTAAATCTAAACAAATATGGCTGCTGTGATAAAAAATGTGGCTTAGCCGCACTTAAACAACTTTTGAATTGTTGATAATTTTACATCTATAACATGCAGGTTAACTAAAAGCATAAAAACAATAACCAGAAGATAAGAACAATATAGTTCAATCACTTTCAAAGCAAAAAGTTCACAATTTTCAAACATATAAGAATAAAGAAACTGAGCTCACTGAGTCAAATAACAGAGTGGATATATATATATATATATATATATATTTATATACTTTTGGACGATTGCAACCAAAAAGGGAGGTGCACACCTGCATGTTATAGCAGTTTCACATACAAAATTTCAACGTTCTGAGGCTATTCGTTTTTGAGTTATGCGAGATATATACGTAAGCAAGTACGTACAGACGCCACAAAACAATCTCTTCTGAGTCCATTTCAAATCAGTTTTATAATTAGTTTTTTGGAAAAATAGTCCTTTATTCTGTCTTTACGTACAGATGTCCCGCAAAAACATCGTTAAATTGCATTCGATAGCCGCCAAAATGAATATTTTCGTTGAAATATGGTATAAGGTATTTCTCCCACTTCTCTAACGTGCTTTCGTGGTGTAACGGTAGCACGCTGAGCCGTTATTCCAGAGGTCCGTGGTTCGATTCCCGGCGAAGGCGGTTGCATATTTTTCATCTTGTCTGCTTCCAATTAACCTAATGACTCTACAAGTGGCGCCCGAACTAAAACAGTTGTGGATGATGATTCTCCGCACCCAGGATTTGGCGACTAGGTCCCCTAAAACCCTAGTCGCTCTTTAAAAAGGGGAGTATATAAGGTATTTTTCCCACTTCCCTAGCGTGCCTTCGGGGTGTAACGGTAGCACGCTGGGCCGGTATTCCAGAGGTCCGTGGTTCGATTCCCGGCGAAGGCGGTTGCATATTTTTCATCTTTTCTGCTTCCAAAAAATTCCTAATGACTCTACAATGGTACACGGAATTTTTTGTGGTTACAATACTTCCTTTACTTCGTACACGTGAAAACAGACGACATTTTCATATAATTTCGCTAGTTCCGAAAATATCATAGTAGATCTTAAATGGAAACAAATAGTTTCAAATATAGTTTTCTGCAAATATAGATTATTTATCATGCATAGAAATAACCTTCCATTTTAAAAAGACTCCAAATGTTTAAAACACATGTTATACGACGTGTTGCATGGGCTTTTCACCAAGCTGTGTTTATACTTCATATAAATGTGAAATAATAAGACCTAAGCGTCGATGTTTAAATATTCTTATAATAACGTGCCTCCTCTTTAAAAGATGTTTGAAGTTAATCGGACATCTAACCTCATTCAAATATTTATTATTCGCTTTCAAATTTAGTGTTTTCCAGATACAAACCGAAAAATAAGGTAGCAGTTTTCTCCTCTTCGCCATCTTCTATCCTGTCCTCCTGGAGTTACTTACTTGTATTGCGGTCATTGTATTTGAAGCCTCCTTCTATGGGACACGAAGTTCTGACAGCCAGAATACAGCACGCACTTTTCCTGCTAATCTCGGCATACAGCGGAAGTTGGAGTTAGTTGATAATATTCACTCCTTGATTAGATAGTTAACTTGTTGCAATCGTTTGCGAGGTTGAGACTTTGCCGATCAAAGATGTGCATTTGAGTGTTTGCCATCAAAGTCTGAGCTCGAATTAACACTCGAACGCCAAATTTTCGGTTTTATCCGTTTTGTGCACTCTCTGTGAGTTTTTCTCTAAATTGATTGCGCAACTTTTGGATTCGTTCATTCGCTCTTCCAACACTGTTGTAAGTTCAGGTTGGAAAATTCTAATATTCTTCTTTTATGCCTCTCGGAATGGAATGCGACCCTATGTTCTATAGTAATTATTACTCATCTGGATGAATACTATCATCCCTCTTAATTTGTAAAAACAATTTAGAATCACCCTGTATACCATTTATATACTCCGGAGTTTAGTATAAAAGCGCTTAGAGAGTTGGAAGCCAGTTATCTAACTCAGTTGCCTTATACAATAAATAAATAAATTAGTAAATAAATTACGAGCTTAACTTACATGTTTAGAAAATACTAATTCCAGATCGCTATATATTCATAAAAATAAAAAATATTAAAAATAATTTATTAGTTTATCAATTTTAACTGTAATTAGTTATTGTCAGTTTGAAACAGTTGATTATATCAGTTTGAATTGTAATAATCATTGTTATTATTGAGAACATTTATCATTTATGAGATTTTCCTTGACAATGTTTGACAATCAGAATGTTTCCATTGCAATCTGTAACTATCTCGATTTCCAAATGCATACATTTTTTAAATCGAAACTAAGTACTGCGCTAATAAATCATCTTACGAAATACAACCTTTCAGAAATGGATACTTCTTATATTTCGTTCAAAAGAGAATAACACTGCGCATGATGCGCTCTCTCAAGAACTTCATATTTCAAAAAATATTTCAAGGTTACTACGAAAGTGCCGTCTTTATTTCAGAGCGAGCTCTCTGAAGAAGGAAAAACAAGAATATAGTAGTTGATGCGGAAGTATTAAGGTTATATACAGTATTAAATGACTTTTGTAGTCTCCCATTTTTAAATGATTATCTTTTCATTTTCATATTTATTACATAATTTGCCAATGCTGCAAAAGTAGAAAGAATCCGTAGTTTCAAATTTTAATTGTGTTTGCCATTGTACGACCACATATTGCGTTTTAGACATGTAAAAATTAGAATTTTTTATAAATGAAAATTTGTAATCCAGTTAAAAACCTGACTAATAAAGTTTCCTAAAACAAATTAAAATCTTTCCAATTAAATAATTTAAACATTAGGTTAATTTTTTATAAGTAAGAATAAAATAATTATATTGACTATGCTTATAAATCACAAAAATAATTCTTAATTTTTAATTGCCGTAATTAGCGAAGAATAATCTAAGCTTGACTAACCAATAACAGCGTTTTAACTAATAATGATAAAACGTTATTTAATATTGGCTGAAAAGGTTTTAATCTTTGCTTATTATTAACACATTATTTGTAAAAATTCGTGTTCAAGAAATTACAAATATTTTTAGTTAATTATTATTTACAAATTAATCAATTAAAATTCTATTTGCTTGCTAATGGAATTATTGGCAGAATTGTGTTAATTAATGTAGTCGTTTAATATCTTGCGTGTATGCAAATTTATATCATTCTTGAAAAGATTATTCTAATCATCTTTTAATTGGATTAAAATAACACATAAAATTAATAAAAGACGTAAATAAACTCATAAAACATGTGTTTCCAAATTCACTATGCATACGTAATTCTTTCAAAATTAAGTTCACTAGTGATTTAGTTGAGTATTGTTATTTCAACATTGCCCTCTCACATTACCAGTTTCCTAAACACAAAGGCAGGCTAAATTGTTATTTATGACTAGCTGTTGCCAAACGTCACGAGAGTTAAACAAGCACGTGAAAGGAAATTCACGTGATGCTAAGTGAAAAGCAAAAGAACACAGCCGTTTATAGAAAGATACAGCGATGACGTCAGAATGAAACAAAACACAGTGAAAGCTTGCTGGTGGAGCAGCTGGAACGTTCAGTACTACTTTACATTTGTATTTCACACACTGCCTTTAATTTTTTGTCCTTCCTGGAGGCGTTTTTTTATACACTTTTGTTTCCTTTTTATTGGTCTTTTACTTCTGATGAGGCCACAGCAGGTCAGACTCAAGTCTTGATGACACAGAAAACGAGGGCACGAGCCCAGTTTCTCTTTCATTTTGGGGAAGATGGTCTTCTTTGAGAACGCAAACGATTTTACAAGGAAAATCAAGACGTTGGGGTATAATGGAATGGCTACCTTACATATAAAAGTAAATATCTTTGAGTTTATATTTTTAATACTTTTGGGAGAGTATTTTCTATTATTGGTAAACATATTTTTACTTCCAAAAAATCCAAAAATTCTTTTCGATCATTTGTTCCGACAAGAATGTTTAGTCTCTAAGAATGTACAATTTATTTACTGATAAAAATTTTGTCAAGCTTGTCAAATTTTGTCAAAAATTTGCTGATCAAAATTTTTTCGTATATATAAAACTTGCTTAAATCTGTTTCAATACATTTATTGCGAGAAATAAGTCTATAAATTTAGCTTTCTTTATTCTGTAAGAAAATTTTGTGAAAATACTTTTTATAGATATAAACCCATTCTAAAACTGTTTCTGCTGCTTATTATTGAATGACTATAGCTCTATCGTTCCTTGTTTGATATATATATATGTATATATATATATATATATACGTTTGAGATATATAAAGACTGTGCTAAACCTTTAAAAGCCATTTAAGTTTAGAAGAATATGGGTCTATAAACTGAGTATGTTATGGACGATAAAAATATTTTAAGAAAATACCTCGTACTATAAAACGCTAAATTCAGACAGATTTAATGTTTCTAGCTATAAAAGTACTTTCAACAACTCATTAATAGAAAAAAATTGTATCTCTCTTAATTTGGCGCTCTTAATTCGTGAAACTATTTGGCGAAAATAATGTATAAGTATAAATGTATCGAATTTGAATTATTTTTAAAACAGATTCAAATGCTCATATTTGTGCTTTGGAGGCATTTTGAATTGCGGTATTTGTTTCCCGTTTGTCTGAAATTCGATCGCAAATAGTTAAAAAAATCAATTCTTACTGCAGGAACTTCATTTGAGTTCTTTATTTAATATTGAACTAGAGCTACTAATTAAAATTATTATTCTAAAATTGATTTTTCATAAAATTTAAATTTACTTCATAAACACTGGATTTCTTCTGTCATCAGATTTATTTGAATAATTGAAATTTTTTTGTTCTTGTATCTGTCATATCTTATAATTTGTAAATTCATTTCGTACACGTTGTTGAATTGAATAACGAAGTTATATAACCACGATCTCTTATATTATTCCTACAAAAGCCAACAAATTTATTAATTTTTAATGTCAAAATATTAGAGATGTACGCTGTGTTTGTTCACAGTGAAATTATTTTAAACATCCATCTAATTAATGCTGATTATCTCAAATCTAAGTACAATAAATGTAAAATATGATTATGATAATTTATATTTATTGGAATTTTAAATATGAGGTTGCAACGTTATGTGAAGTTCATGTAGTACCATAAAATTATATCCGAAATATTAACAAATTGAAGCAACTCCTTGAAGTTCTGTGTGTCCATATTATCTTAAGAAATAAGGATTTTGCTGCATATGTAATACAATTTTAAGATTCGAATGACAGCAGTGCATAATTAGTACTCAAGTGATGAAGAATTATAATTTATACATATAATTCCTTGATGACCCGTGAGTGAAAGGGGATCCAAATGTCGTTTCATTCGTAAATTTACAAATAATGTTTTGTAGACTAAAGCTGGCATAAGACAAGGAATCATTTGGTGTAAGATATACAGAAAATTCTTCTAAAGATCCCACCAGATGACAGACCTAACCTGCAGCTTATGTGGGTATCGCTGGCAACGAAACGGCGGACTTGCTTGCGAAATCTGCAGCCAATGACTCCAGTAGTCTGGAAAACGCAGTAAGTGTGCCGCAGTCTTATTTTTGAAAAAAAAAAATCAAGCTCAGTAGCCTTTTGCAAGAATGGCAAGAAAAGATGGGAAAGGGAAAGCACAGGGAGGAGAACTTACAAGCTCTTTCCGAAAGTTACATGCTCAAGTAAAACATACAGCGGTGCACATGCGTAATTATACACTAGCCATGCTCCCTTGCCACATTATCTTAAGAGATTCAGCAAACGAGTCTCAGAATTGTGTGATTGTGGAGCGGTAGGTGGTGCAAATTACTACCTGTTCAACTGCTCACAAACCGATAAATTGCATTTAAAAATGCCAAGCAATGAATACTGGCCGCAATGAACGGAGAATACCTGCGGCAAACAAGCAGGCGAAAACTAAGATAGAGGAGGTCATCAGGCTATGCTCAGCAAGGTACTAAAAAATTCTACTTTCCCCCCCTTGAGAATTGTTTCTTCGCAGCATAATTTCAATAGCAAATCAAAGTGGTGAGGAGACCGCTTTGATTTGAATTCTGAGACCTTACAAATGTGGAGTACATTTATCTGACATTTCTCAGATACCGGAGTAGCAGATTAGTGTAGTTGACTCTTGCAGTAATATCCAAGTAACTGAACAGTAACAAAGATACTCTCTTGATAGGTACTACAACTTTAATAGCAGTTGCAATTTTTGCAAGCAATTCAGCTAAAGTACCAAAAAATTAAGTCACGTAACTCCCTACCCAGTTTAAGCCAGATAGTACTACAGCAACTGAAAATCAACATTAGACAAATAGCTCACCCCGTAGAATAGTAACAGGACGACTGTAAGAGTAAAAACTATTGTCATGTAAGCTCATTACTATCCATTTTGTATGTACTTGTTAAAAATGACATAGAAAATCCAGTCAATGTGTAACTGAATTACAAGTATACTTTTATTATCTCAGTAAAAGTATTGTAAATATGAATTCAGATAATGTTTAAATGTGCACATAACTGCCATCATTATATCTAACTATTACATGTAACTTGTACAAGACAATGTCTGTAATTAACATATCTATGCTTATACACAGGCCTTGTATGCCCGTGTAATATTTATATTTTTTAAACGAAAGAAATAATCCCTTCTGTCAGGATGACTATTAACAGTGCAAGACTTTCACAACAAAGCCAGGTCAGTGGTTATCTCAGGCGGCGCTCAGGAGACTAAAGCTACAAAATTTTAATAAAAGAAAAAATGGATTAATTTCATTTTCTACGAGACGGTGTAACTGCACGAAGGGCTCTTAGTACAATAGAGAGGACGCAGTTGTTGATTTCAGAAGTGATAGCTTGTACCATCCAGAATGAAGAAAGCCTACCTAAAACAAACGCAAGTTTAAATACATGAACTTTTTGGGTGCACAAAAGTTTTAAGAACTTTGATCTTGGACTCACTGGCACTTAAAATATTTTAACACTGAAAGAAATAAGTATAACCGTAAGATTATCAAGAGCAGTTCTATCTAAAGTCTAACCAATCTATCACAGCTAAAAGTATTTGTTTCCAGCAAGCAAAGTGAAATCATCGGCACACCTTTCGGGTTAAGACTTACAGGCTGACCATGCTTCTTTCCATTCAAAATTAACAACTGTCTGACAGACTGAACTTAGGGCTATAAAGCTGCATATCATATAGAAATGCCTGGTCAAAATGTAATGCCACATGCTACAAACTGTAGCCCAGGGATTATGGAATTTTCTGAATCTAAATTCGCATTAATGAGCAGTTTCTTCTTTTTTCATATTTCTGAGTAATGTTATAACAAAAAACTGATTCATAACTAACATATATTATATTACTATATTATTTTATAGTATAGAGAACCTAATAAACATAAAGGAATATTAATAGTAATAATATATAGTATCAAAATATTTAATTTTGCATGAAAATGGAAAGAATAATAAGCATGACATAATAAGACGTATTCCAAAAATAATAAAGTTGAAATCCTATCACAAGATCCGAGCAAGACTGTTCAGACCCATCAAAACAACGGAGTCAAATAACAATCCATGTTATTTAAGAAACAAATCAAATGCTAAAGCAGCAATTTATTTTAAATTATTAGAAATGGCGAATGTGCTAGCCGTGGACGCAGTCAGCTGATCAAGGGTCAAAGGAATGCTCCTTTTCCCTCCGCAATGTCAAAGCATAGACGAATTCTTCCCCATCTGCGGGAACTGTTCGCTGTTTAGAGCTGACTGTGTAGCAATTTATTGTTACGTTTTGGTTAAGGCGAGTTTTCTGTTCCGAAGTTGACATTTAGTTTAAAGTACTGTACGTGTATATTATGTGTACAATAATATTTAACCGTGTTTTTACTCGAAACGTTGTGTACAGTGAAGTTTTTGATTAATTTCAACAGGTTTTTATTTAATTTTTGTTTAAACTTTACTGTTTATTTTTACGCAAAGTTTGAGTTAAGTTGCAAAATAAAACATTAAAGTAATTTACCTATCATTATTTAAGCTTCATTTAATATTATTTATTGTTTAATTTCGTTTATCACTAAGTCCAGAATGTATATATAATTTTTAGTTAACTTAGCCGGCGATTATTAACGGGTACGGACAAGACTGCCGGGTGTAGTAGATTTAAGAACGAAGCAGCCTGACGGCAAATACGCACCCACTAAGGACACTTAAGCTCTCTTTTCTTTGAGTAAGAGTAAGTCTTCTCTAAACGTATGGGAATATATACCTTTAAGTCTGCTGGAAACGAATTCTGTCTTTGCGCTGATATAAAACACTAAAAACCAAATATAATATTGAGCTATCTTCGATTATATATTTATTTATTTATTTTGCTTCATATCTGATATTATATCGTACCTGGTTTTTACTATAAATCTGTTTCACAAATATAGTGTACAAAAAGTAATATCTGGTATTTTCTTCTCTTCCCCCCCCCAACTAAAAAAGCAATTAACTGTGTTAAACGTTAGCTTTGTCAAATTTAGTTTCCTCTGTATAAAAGGACATAATGCAGTTTTTTGTCATTAACAAAGGTATGCGATGGTACATCCCAATTTAGCCTTATCGCTTAAATGAAGTCCCTACAGAATGTCTCAGGCGTCTGATTTTAAGTTTTAGGGCAGTCATCATGAAAATATTCTATCGAAAATAAGACAATATTTTCACAGATTTATTTCACCACATTATTTAGTTTTGCTAAATCTGTTTAGCTGGGTATTAGTAAATTAGTGCTCAGGTTTTAGTAAATCCATTTAGAAATATACCAACTCAGGTTT